ACGACCACATTTTCTTTTGGTCGTAAATTGGAAGTTAAGTCACTTCTGCTTTACGACCAATTTATGTGGTCCCAAATTTACTTCGGTTTTACCACCAATATCTTTTTGGTTGTTGACTGGTCGTAACAGGGACGTAAAATTACGACCACCATATCGTGGTCGTAACAGTTGGTCGGTACTCAACCGTTTTCTTGTAGTGATATATATATATATTATATCTTAAACGTTATGTTCATCATCTATAAGAACATTGTGGCATATCTTATCTCTTCTTGCATTTGAAAAGGCCATTGTAATATTTTACAGAACATTTTCAGGCATTGATTAATCTAATCACCGAGAACAGAGTTCTGATTCTTTTTTACTTCTTGAATTTTCATTTCATCATGGTTGCCATTAAGAATCATCTCAAATTAGAAGAAAGGGTTTATTCCAAAGAATATGCTTAAGGATATCCAAAGAATATTCGTTATTGTATTCATGTTCTTGTCTGTACTTGCACATTCCCAAACTTGTTTTTATACATCTCTAACTTTCATGAAATGCATCGGTTGATTACTCTCTTTTGCAACCCTTGAATGTGTTTGTTGATTGACATCTATGCATATTGATCATCCTCGTGGTGATGATCGATTCGTTTAGATGACCATCAACAAATACTTTCATGGTTTTGCATCGCCTCTTGGAATCTAGCTTACGTTATTAGCATCTTTTGTAACCATTTTATGTAGGACGTTGGTCGCTCAAAAGTATTTGCATCTCGTGGATAATCTCAAGCAGCTGGAGAAGAATCGAAAAGCTTCCTAATGATGATGATTATCTGTTATCTTAGTTTGTAACCTCTCTGACATGTTTTTCTTCTTTATGCAATGGTCACTGCAGGTTAGCTCATGAAAAATAATCTTGTTTTATTTATTTACTGAACCAGAACAGAATAAAAAACATGTTTATAGAGGAAACCTAAAATCTCTAGATGCTTGCTGAAATGACAATCGCTAAACCATTTGGTCTAAGGGACTAAAGAAGTTATGTTATCATCTACAAGAACATTTCTTGCGGTAGATGTTTGTGTGTTACATATGAGTGATAAGAATATATGAAAACACATGTATAAATAAGACCAGAAAGAAAAGTCAACGAAACGAGTCTCAGTTGTTATGGCTTTAGCTACCTTTTGGATGCATATAGTTGACTTCCATTGTTTTACTATAGATTCCATTGCTAAATGATCTTTATATATAATTATGAGCCAGTTTCCGACCAATTCTTCAAACTTATGTTAGGGTAGGTTTGGATTGAATCATCAAATCAATTATCTCACCAACAACTAAAGGTTGGAACCCTACATATACTCGGGACCATTCGGACTTAATGGATTATGACCTTTCTAATGCAACTTTGACAAAAGAGGAGCCTCCATTTTGCTATTTGGATGCTTCTATTGTTTTACATTGATACGTGTGTGTATCAACATTTTTACATTGATAAACACTGTATACAAGATGAATACAACTTTTTTTTTGTCAACACAACTTTTCTTTAAACACGAAATTACGTGAGGTAAAAGAAAGTAGAAAAAAAATTAGCCACCTCCGCGATAGTGAAATTAAAAAAATGGATTTATTATTTATTTAAATTATGGGAATTATTATATACAACTTCTATATTTTATCTACAACTGTTTGTTTTCACCTTGCTAAAATTAGTGTAAGCCAGGTGTTGGTGGTCAGGTGGTTCATAGTGTCTCGCATGATAATAAGAGTCGCAAATTTGAATATATTGTCTACATATTACAATAGGGTGTGACCATGTGATATAGGCATCTAATTCTTATTCGAACAACTGGGTCTAACTGGTGCGATGGTCAAGTCTCTAGAGATTAGTCGGTTGAATCATGTTTCGCCGGATATCTCAGGTCAACAAAAGATTTAGTAGTCTCATGTTTTGATTAATTTTTTTTTAAAACTACCTTTTTTATTGATTTACATAACTGATTATAAATCATATTTTAAAAAATTTTAAAACTCAAACTTTTCCATATAAAAATATTAATTACTAATCATTGATCAAATTATTGAACTAGGGGACTTCCAATAATAAGATTGTTCAGGATCTAACTTTTATTTGACATGAATTTTCTTAGTTTCATTTTCTTATTAATAGACTTTTGACGTGTTGTTTGTGCACAATCAGAGAAAGGACAGCAAGTAGCAAAGCTTTTTTTTTTTTTTTTTTTTTTTGCAAGTAGCAAAGTTGTTTTATGCAGAATTTCTTTATTCAATTTTATATGCATGTTCTAGTTAGTAAAACACGTTCATACGCAATTTTCAAACAAACACCGTGTACAAGACAGCGTATCGTCAACTGTATTAGGTCAACTAGCCTTTTCAAAAAACATATTTCTTTATTGGACCACTAACTCTTTTTAGCAATTTATTTTGACCCTCCAAATAAGTACATCTTATCAAAATAACCCCAAAACTTTACACATTCAATATCGGAAATTATCACAAGAAGGAAGAACAACATCAGCCGACAAGTTTGATCTTTTGGAGCAAAATAATCAAAAAAAAAAAACAAACAAACAAAATTTTAACATAAAAAAAAGAAATGAAGCAGATCTTTTGTTGAGCTGAAGTTTTACACTTTGTGTATCGATAAATCATTTACCTGAGACACAAGAAAACAACCTATGACTTCTGTTCCTCACAAGCTGTCCTCGCCGCGACGGAGAAACACCTATTCCTCCGCCTTCGCCACGTGACCTTCTCCCTTCATGATAAGACATGGAAGAAAAATCTCCGACCGAGAAACCACGGCGGTGACGGTCTTGAGAAGCAACGTTGTTCATCTCTACATGATCCAAAGAAGACGATGGTCGAGATACGACGGAGGAGGGATCGGAGTTTTCGGAGAAGGGGAGGAAGTTATCGTATGACTCTTTTGTAGTGTCACCGGAGGAAGAGAGACATTCGTAACGCCGGCGAGTTCGGTTTTTCAACATAGCTTTAAACGCCATTGGAATCAAACCATCCATGGTTATATTGTTATTAGGGTTGTGTGTATGATTATTGTTAAAGGAAGAAAAATGAAACCAAGAACAAGAGAAGAAAGAAGAGGAAAGGAGTTTTGTTGTTTTATGTGGAGGAGTTGGGAGGTTTATGGTTTGGGTAGTGGTTTTGTTTACAGCTGCCATCAATTTCATTTTGTCTTTGTTTGTTTTTTGCTGTTTTTTTTTTCAATTAGATTTGACTTCTTCTTTATGTTTTTGTTTTATTTTTTTCTAGTTTCATTGAATTTTAATCATATGAGAATTTACTTTTTATAGAAATTTCGAACATCTTAATTAACGATATAGTACTTGTACTCTATAGAATTGCACTTTTCATTATTTTAAAATCCATTTTTAGTTTTTTTTATAAAATTAAAAATACTTTTAGAAAATTAAAAAAATTGACAGATATTGTAGGCTCATTTTTCTGATGTGGCTGTCGACAGAAAAAAAAAATGATGTGGCCCAGCCCATAAACTCTCGTCCACACGTAGTGTAGATGATAGAGAGAATTTGCCAGCCCACCTTTACATATTAGAGAGTAGAAACTGACTTTGTAAATTGTTCGGAAAATCGGATGAAATCACTCCTCAATGATTTGTTTACTCTTGTTTTTGACACTTTTAAGCTAGGAGCCACTTTTAAAGGACTTTAGAAGACAACGAAAAGAAGATAATGGATTTTATTTTCTATATTTGGTGGCGTAGGTGATTGTCGTTTAGTCTAGCCATATTATTAAAGACCTACAGGCTAGACTTATAGTCCTCTAAATGGTGAACCGTAGACCTCTGGTAAGTTGGATATGTCGTCGTAATTTTAAACAGCTACGACCTCCAATGGAACAATCTCCTACACAACACCCACGATGGTTCCAGAACGAGCCGCAACTTTATAATTACTAGGTAGTTAGGGATTTCTTGATGCCTAAGTGCCGATTCTAGAATGTTATATATATGGATTATTAGGTAGTTAGAGATTTCTTGATGCCTTTTATTATTATTATTTTTCTATATAGTTTTTTTTATTTTGACTTTGTGATTTCCAGTAGAATCCATAGCATGTGCATATGATCAATGTAGATGTATAAATCGATTGTAGATACAGGGGTGTTGTAGTGGATATGTATGTAGCCTATATGGCTATATAGATGTATGTATGAAAGACTGCATAGATGTATCCTGGATGGCTGGATGTATGTATAGAGTGTGCATGTATATGTCTACGTAGGAGCTTCATTTGCCACGGTACTACAAAAACAAAGCAAAAGTATCTATGGCGAGCTAAACCAAAAAAATAATCTATGGCGCAAACTTTTTAGGATGAGTTTAGGTTAAAATACTAAAGCCGCGAGAGTATAACTGCGCCAAAAGTTCATATCAATATACTCACATAATTATGAAATAAAAATTGGATATCCAAACCTTTGACTGTAAGAGACTTGTTTCCACACCATAGTTCAATACATCATTCATATTTCTATCAATCACCAAGAGGAATATCGCTGAAAATAACTAAGCACATGAATGTTGATCATGATAGGGTTACCTCTTACGAAAGTTTAGCATGACTGATACAAAATAATTTTCGTAAGCCTTGGCGAAACATATCACTAAAGTAATCACGGAAGTTGATCATTACCTAAGGCTTACGAATTTGTTTAGCAATCTACATTAATAGTTATTTGCGGAACGCCAAAGAAGATGGAGAGATATTTGGGATCTTGAATCAAACATGAACTCAACATTATAGGACATGCGACATGCTTGTTTCTTCTTATGGTTTAATCCGATATATAATAATATACTTAACTTTCTTGATCCTAATAATACGGCATGAGGCAATAAATGTGTGTTTTGTTTAACAAACATCACATTATTTCTGAAATGTTGACGTGCATGTGATTAGCATCCCTTCGAAAATCTTTACGATGCCATTGGCCAGTTTCTTCTCCGGTTTATCCTCCACTTGTCACGTTTCCCACTCATGTTTGGCTCCGTATGACCCGTACATTATTTTTTCTTTAATTCCCTAACATATGTATGTATATCCATCAATTCCTTACATTTCTTTTGAATAATGAGGATCGTGTAACGTTCTTCTATTGATTGTCTCTCAGCTAGTTAAAACTTAAAACAAAAATGGTTACTACGTACCCAACTGAGTCGTCACATGCATTGATAATTATGTCCCCTGCCATCAACATGCACTGACACTTCCCTGACCATTCCACTTGCTTTTTTCACTTATCCCATTTGAATACAACATAATTAAGTTTTTGTTTGAACACTACTTTCTTATACACATTTGGGTTAAGCATTTAACGGACACAATTAAGTTTGGTTTTGTGCTAAGACAAAAAGAGAAGAGATTTTCAATATTTTTTTTAAGTGAATTAGTAGAGAGCTACACAACGCAGTGGCCTAGAGAATTTAGTAAGATGTAGAACAAACCACAAACGACAATTGATTCTTGACAAATGACAGTTGATTCCTTGACACTGTGCGAAATTGTCTGTTTTTGTATTATGGCCTATGATACATGAATGAACTCTGAATGATTAAAACATTCTTTCATAATTTTGATATCTTCCAAATAAATTATAAAACATGTCATTATTCTGGTTTTGAAATTGTCTTCAACAATTGAGAACAATATTTTTACAAATGAGACATAACATTAATGTAAATTGTTCATACATTTTAGATGAACGCTTTTACTTCCGAATGAACTGGTGGCCACTTCTATACACACATATAGAATAGATAAACATAACAATTTATCTTACACTAAAATGTCTAAAAAATTATATTCTAATTTTTTCAGTCCATTAATTTTATCATGATAAAGTGATAAACGATTCAAACAGACACAAACTTTAAATAATTCAAAATTACCAGTTGTAATATTCTGAAATTTGACAAAAAAATGTTCTCCGTCGCCTTGACAAAGGAAATAAAATCTAAACTTTCGTGTGATGATGATAACACGAAATAAAAATCCAGATATTATTAATTAAATACTAATAACACAAAAACTCTCATAAATACAAAATACTATATATACCTTCCACTAAACCGTTTCAAATCCCACACAACCCCACCTCCATTATTCAACTTCTCTCTCAAAACACAATGCCTTCTTCAGTTCTCATAATTGTCCTCTTTCTCCTCTCAATATCATTGTCCTCAGCTCAAACCTACAACATTCTATCATACGGAGCTAAACCGGACGGTAAAACCGACTCCACCAAGGCCTTAACCGCCGTGTGGGCCAAAGCCTGCGCCTCAGTTAAACCGGTCACCATTTCCATCCCTAAGGGACGGTTTTTACTAGGAAGCATTGTTTTTGATGGAGCCAAGTGTAAACGCAAGTCAGTCACGTTCCGTATTCAAGGTACACTTGTGGCTCCTTCGGATTATAGAGTCATTGGCAGACAAAGCCATTGGATTTTCTTTCAGCATTTTGATGGTCTCTCCGTCTACGGCGGAGTTCTTGACGCTCAGGGAGCTTCTCTATGGTCTTGCAAAAAGTCTGGCAAGAATTGCCCAAGTGGTGCAACGGTACGTTACCATTTTACACATTTATTGTCATTGGCAAATGTAGACATCTATATAGTTTAAAATTAAAATGTCTGACAAATGATCACATGTATTAATCTCAAAACTGAACTGTTTGTTTTGTTATTCATTTAAATACTGATCAGAAAATTGAGTAAAACTGGTTAAAAAATTATTTCAAAATAATAAAAGAGGTAAATTTATGAAATCCAATCATTTACCCACTAATTAATGCATTAACATTAGTAACGTTTTAAATAAATCTTTTTAACATTGAATATTTGCAATTTGCAAGCCCGCCAATTCCTCTAATTGTCATTAGTAACGTTTTAAATAAATCTTTTTAACATTGAATATCCAAATGATGCATTTTCCCCTAATTGTCTCTCCACTTCTCCGTTAACATTAATTACAAGTCACATGTTTTTGGACTATAAAATAGTGTCTGCGTAGTTGACTTCTTACGTTACTACGTTAGTAATCCCATTTCATATGGACCAATCATAGAGTCATTGATGTGTAGATATAAACAAATATATAAATGCACTTAACAAAAAAAAAAAATATATATATAAATGCGATGATAAACTTTTTAGCAAAAATAAATTAATAAACTATTTTAAAACAATGTAACTGACACTTACATGGGCAACAATATACAAACAGAGCATAGGGTTTCAAAGCTCAAGCAACGTGGTGATCTCAGGGCTAACGTCACTCAACAGTCAGATGTTTCACGTAGTAATTAACGGTTGCCGTAACGTAAATATCCAAGGAGTCAAAATTTCAGCTGACGGAAACAGTCCAAACACTGACGGCATCCACGTCCAGTCATCCTCCACCGTCTCCATTCTCAACTCAAAAATCTCTACCGGCGATGATTGTGTATCCATCGGTCCCGGAACTAACGGCCTCTGGATCGAAAACGTTGCTTGTGGCCCTGGTCATGGTATCAGGTAATTATTTTTTTACTAACCAAGTTACTTGTAATGTAACTTCATCATGCATTATTTATACCAACACAAAACTTCATGCATAATTGCATATATTCAAGTTATTAAAAGTCAATTATTTGAGCTAATGCTTTAGTACGTTTTAATTATTTTTAATCCATTTTCCCTTGATCCGTACCGTATTAATTTTTTTGGGTAAATGTTTTTTTATAAATCAGCATTGGGAGCTTGGGAAAAGAGAGTGTGGAGGCAGGTGTACAGAACGTAACAGTAAAAACGGCAACGTTCACAGGAACAGAGAATGGGGTGAGAATAAAGTCATGGGCCAGGCCCAGTAATGGATTCGCTAAGAACATTCGTTTCCAGCATTGCGTTATGAACAACGTACAGAACCCAATAGTCATCGACCAAAACTATTGTCCTGGCAACGAAAATTGTCCTAACCAGGTTCACCATTTTTTAAAATTTCTAACTAAATTTTTTTAAAAAAGTCGAATATAAACTATTTATTAGTTCAAATATTAATATAATTATGATGATAACAGGTTTCTGGGATAAAAATCAGCGATGTGATGTTCTTGGACATACACGGGACATCGGCGACGCAAGTTGGAGTGAAATTTGACTGTAGCTCTAAGAAACCGTGTACCGGGATCAGACTTCAAGACGTGAAGCTAACGTACCGGAATAAACCGGCAATGGCAGATTGTAGCCATGCAGGTGGGACTGAGGCTGGGACCGCTGGGTTTCAACAGCCCAACAGTTGTCTATGACCAGACAAATGAATATATATATCTCTGTCTTGTGTCATTGTGTGTTGTCTTTAGTCGTGAATTGTAAGTAACGTTTTCGATTCTATATATAGTATTACGACCCTGTTGGTGGTGGTTTGGAATTGGCTAATTTACCTGTCTAATAGAACTTGGGTCTAGCCTTAATTGTATTACTTGGCACGCAAACAAGCTTTGTCGCGTTATCTTTTAATTGTTTTTAATCCGTTTTTATTAATGAAAACGGTACAAAAAAACCTTGGCCAGTGGAAACCTAACTTGAATTATTGACTCTTTTTTTTTTGTAAAAGTAAAAAAGAACTTTATTTGGATAAATGTTTGAAAAAAATATAGCATGTCTTAGCAGTAAAAACAGCAATATCTAGACGATAAGGAATTTCCTCTAAGGCTCGTATGTATACGGTATACCGTATGATTTTGTGGAGTAAAACAGAAGTTGTTTGTATATTTAGATGTTGTAGTTTCACAAGTAACCCACTCCCGTATTAACCATATGTCTTCATGAAGATAAGGGCATTAACGAAGAGCATACCTTATTTAAACCACCCATTATTTATCATAGAATTAGAAGAAAAAAAAAGTCTATAGAGACGATTAAGATGATAAGGGCAACAAACTCATCTTAATCATCTTAAACTCATTTTAATGACAAGGGCATGCAACAAACTAAGAGACGATTATTTCTGCAATTTTTTTTTTATTTGGAACACATCAACATCTCGATCATCTTACGTGAATTCTCTTTACCAGGTGTGGACAAATCAGAGTTCTAGTGGCTTCCGTGAAACACGTGTTAAGTCACTCTAACCAAATCTGGTGAGGTTCTTTTAACTCTAGTCAGATTTGGTTAGGTTCTTTAATTTAACTCTAGTTAGAGTATTGAGTGGCCTATATGAAATACGTGTCAGTTCACCCTTGCCACCATCACACTTCTATGAATATAGGCGGGGGGATGGTCCACCATTGTTTTATATTTTTTCTTTCTGTGTTGTGAATTATGAACTTACTAACCTTGATTGAGTTTTAAAGACCATATAGAGATCTGACGAAGGCAAGAAGAGCTTCTCTTTTACCATAAAAAGGAGTGAAACTGAGGAAAATGGAGACTACCGTGAGGAACAAACAAGTCATACTTAAGCATTACATAAAGGGCTTCCCTGAAGAATCTGATCTAATGATAGTCACAGCTCCAGACACTATGGAACTTACGGTTAAGCCCGGATCATCGACAATTCTTGTGAAGAATCTTTTCTTGTCTTGTGATCCTTACATGGGGACTTTCATGAGGGAACCAGACTCCGGATCATCATCAGAGGTTGCGGTGGAAACTTTATCACATTTGGAAGCTTTCGTCCCTGGCAAGGTAACAACACACACACATAACAACACATGTCTTCATGAGTTAATAATTGTTGTTGATGTTCTTGTGCAGCCCATAGCTGGAGTTGGAGTATCTGAGGTGATAGATTCTGATGATCCAGCTTTTGCAAAAGGAGATTTTGTTTGGGGAATTGTTGATTGGGAAGAGTATAGTACTGTTAATTCCTTTGGTAGATTCAAAATCGATATCAGTATCAATGTTCCTCTCTCTTACTACACTGGAATACTAAGTGAGTATATCCTTTTTCACTGGAATGCAAAAATAATGTAATGATATTTTTGAAAAGAAAAATACATTCAAATAGCACTAAATTATGTTTTTATGACAAAATTATCATACACTTTTTTAATAATACTAGTATTTATTAAAGATAAACAAATATATTTCATATTTGAGTTTAGTGATTAGAGTTAGGAGACAGACGTAAGACTAGAGTATATAAAGAGATTTAGGTACTATTTTGAAAACTTTTATTGTGGATGTATTTTAGAATAAACTTACGAATGCTATTTTGGAGATTTGCTGTTTTCAAAAAAAGTATGTTTTTACATAACAGGTGTGACAGGCTTGACTGCTTATGCTGGACTTTTCGAGATATGTTCACCTAAGAAAGGAGAGACCGTCTTTGTCTCTGCGGCTGCTGGTGCGATTGGTCAGCTCGTGGGTCAGTTTGCTAAGTTGATGGGCTGCTATGTTGTTGGAAGTGCCGGAAGTAAGCAAAAGGTTGAGCCCTTTTTGTTATACAACTTATCTATCAAGAGACTTTTAATTTTTTTACTTGTTTTTTACATTGTTCAGTTCTTTTGAAGGTTGATCTCCTGCTAAACAAATTTGGATTCGACGATGCATTTAACTACAAGGAAGAACCAGACCTTGATGCCGCTTTGAAGAGGTATAGTTACTGGTCAAAATATAATGTTCTTTTGTTTCTTGAGACAGAATTACATTTACTCTGTTATTTTCAGGTGTTTACCACAAGGTATTGACATATACTATGAGAATGTGGGAGGCAAAATGCTTGACGCGGTACTAATGAACATGAAAGTACATGGACGCATCGCTGTATGTGGTATGATATCACAGTATTTTAAAGAAACCCAAGAAGGTATTCAAAATCTATCAGTAGTTGTCTACAAGAGGATCAAGATGCAAGGGTATCTAGCTTTTGACTTCATTGACATATTCCCTAAGTACTTGGAGTTTGTGGTTCCATATATAAAAGAAAAGAAGTTGGTATATGTTGAAGACATTGTTGAAGGACTAGAGAATGGTCCTGCTGCTCTTGTTGGACTCTTCCATGGACAAAACGTTGGGAAGCAAGTTCTTAAGATTGCTTGAGAATGAGATACATAGCCAATTTTTTTATTATGGTTGTGTAGAATGCTACCAACATATGCTAAGAGACATGTGGTTTGCTTTAGATAATGGTGCTTAGATAAGAACAGAACTGCTAGATTTGTAATTTGTTGCTCGAGAATGAGGATATGTATTGGTAAATGCCTATATGATTTTGTAGAATCATACCACTATGTACTAATCAGGTCCGCTCCAGTAAAAATTGATGCCTAAAACAAAAAAGAAAAAAAACTTGCGTCCTAGTAGAATCGAATCTCTTATATATTAATCCTGAAACATTCATAAATGCGCAACTTTGGAGAGCATGCTTACGTGTCAAGCTCACAGAGCTTCTCAGCTTTAATTTTTTAATGGACCAACTTTGCTAGGAATGAAATAATGTAACATTTAATTTCTTGCATTTAGAACTATAATATATAGACATTTTTAAGGGACCAACTCTGCTACGTATAAAACAATATATTTTATTTCCTTAAATAAAAGCTACGGAATTACCTAATATGATTAACATATATATGTAATTAATGATTATGAATAATACATATTTTTGTATCCTCTCTCTTTTTTGTTTAATTTTAAATTATTAAAATAAATTAAACAATCACATTTAAATATATAATAAAAAATTAATTTTTTTCTTATAGCTTATATTTTTAATTTTTTTAAATGACCATAAATAACTAAAAATAGTAAAATCCCACATTGAAAATTTTATGATCAATGGTTTAAATTTGTTTTTTTCAAAAGAAGATACAAATTATCATAAATCGTACGAATACGAAGTATCATTAGTAGATATTCATACTATAAATATGTTAATTTAAAAATTTCAGTGAAAAGGTTTGAGGTTAGTAGATACAAATTATAGTATTCGAAAGATTTTTGTAGTTCGTTTTATTTGCTTCTTTTTTAATATCTTTTAGTTTGTTTAGATAATTTAACTAATTTTAAATTATATTTATTAATAGTTTAAATATTTTGATTTTTTTGTCAACTTTTAATGTTTAACAAATATTTTTTGGGATGATTTCAGATATTGGTTACAATCCAATCCAAACTGAATTGAGAATATCAAATCGTATCCAATCCGATAATTAGTAAAATTCAAATATGAGTTATGATAATAATACCAAAATTTGAACATACGTGTCAATCAAACTAAAACCGACGAAGTCTCAAACGTCCAGACCTATGAAGATTTAAGATACCAACATTTGTATTCATCATTTTATAATCGATAAATACTGTAGTATTGCAAAATGTTAAAAACCATTTAATGAATAAATATTAGTATAAAAATTTCACCCCGCGCATGCGCGCGGGTTATCATCTAGTTATACACTATAATCAGAGAAGTCATGCACCACTACTAGACTTTAAGTAACTTTTACATATTCTTGATGTCCTTAAAATTTTATTCTAATTTGGCATGTAAAATCCTAGCCTCGACGGTTTTAGGTCATGGTCGGCCCTAATTGATTTCAATGGTTTGGTGGGAAAAGATACTACAGTAGAACCTCTATAAATTAATACTCGATAAATTAATATACACTAAATATCTCTATAATAAATTAATATAATTTTATAGTCACAAATTGAATTTTTGGTTCAAATAGTATATCTATAAATTAATGTCTTTCTAAATTAATTTAAAAAAAAAAACAAAAATTTGGTGTAGTTCCAACATTATTAATTTATAGAGATTTTACTGTAGTAATAATGACGGTTTTAGGTCAGGGTCGGCCCTAATTGATTTCAATGGTTTGGTGGGAAAAGATATTACAGTAGAACTTCTATAAATTAATACTCGATAAATTAATATATACTAAATATCTCTATAAGAAATTAATATAATTTTATAGTCACAAATTGAATTTTTGGTTCATATAGTATATATCTATAAATTAATGTCTTTCTAAATTAATTTAAAAAAAAACAAAATTTTGGTGTAGTTCCAACATTATTAATTTATAGAGATTTTACTGTAGTAATAAGACTGTTAAATCGGTAATGTATAAATTGAAGTTTTATTTGTGGAATGTAATTTTGGGTCAAGATTACAATATAGTAAACTATGAGTTCAGTTCGAGTGTTATTACAAAATTTAAGGGACTTAAATGAGAAACTTTCATTTCATGGGCTATTTGAAACTCAAGTGAAGCCCAGCCCACAACATAAGGCCCAAAGTTTTAAGCAAATCAAAAGGGGAAAAGGATAAACCCTAACGCACACTTCCATCGATTCGAGTAGCAAATGGGGATTCTATCGTATTTCACCGGAAGCTCTAAACCTTCTCAGCCAGAGACGACGAAGACGGAGATAATCCAAACGCCGGCTCCGGGGATGAACGGAGCCATCGAAGTTCCTCGTCCCGATCGCGCGACGGTTTTCGAGTTCGGATCCGTGGCGGCTACAGGAGACAGAGTCACTCTCGCTGGATACTGCCCCGTTTCCGACGATCTCGAGCCTTGCCGCTGGGAGATTCTCCCCGCCGACGGGAAAGACGCGCCGCAGTTTCGCGTCGTCTTCTGATGATGAAGAATCTGAGCTTCTTCATCTATGGATTGAGTTTCTAGAAGGATGTAATTTTGAAATTGTATTGGTTTGGTTATGTCATGTTAATGTACCAATTTAAACCGAACTAATTGGTTAAGAATCATAAAACAAAATGAAAAATTGGTTTCGGATTGGATAACAAATCTTAACTATTTCCCAGGTTGTATTTCTCATATTAAAATAAGCTTCTCTCAACGCTAGTTAAATTTGCCTATTTTAATCATCTAAATTTAGTTATGAATGATTTTAAAAATGAGATAATTAGTGATTATCCGTGTTTTACTGTTCCTAATGACAATAAAATTGTATTGGCTTGGTTATGTAATGTCAATGTACCAATTTAAACCGAAACAAATTGGTTAATATTCATAAACCAAAATAAACAATTTGGTTTCGGACTGGACAATAATCTCAACTATTTTCCAGGTTGTATTTCCTTATTAAAATAATCTTCTCTCAACGCTAGTTAATTTGCTTATTATAATCATCTAAATTTGTAGTTATGAACGAGATCAATTGATTTTTAAAATGAGATTAATTAGTGATTATCCGTGTTTTACTGTTCCCAAATGACAAACGTACTTTTTTTTGTAATTAGTGGTTAGAAAATTTCGTAACCTTTTAATCCATCGATTAAAAAAAGTTATTAAGAAAAATTGAAAAAAAACAAGACATACATACACGTTCTTGTCTCTGCTTTATCGTTTCTCCAACACAAGTTTGACGAAATTTTCTAAACATGCAATGTGGATTCTGTTTAATCATCCTTAATTGATCTAACAGAAAATAAGATTCATTCAACATCAACAAAAATCATGGAAAACGTAGTAGTAGCCGAGCAATTAAAACGAGGGATATCAAGACAATCCTCGACAGGATCAGTACGACGAGGAACACTAAGCCGACAATTCACACGCCAATCCTCTCTCGATCCACGACGTAACAACATGAGGTTCAGCTTCGGTCGTCAATCTTCTCTCGATCCGATCAGACGTAGCCCCGAATCTTTAAGCTGCCAGCCTCAGATGATGTCTGTCCCCGAGAATCTTGATTCCACCATGCAGCTTCTCTTTATGGCGAGTAAAGGCGACGTTGAAGGAGTTGAGGAGCTGCTCGATGAAGGGATCGATGTGAATAGCATTGATCTTGATGGTCGTACGGCTCTTCATATTGCTTCTTGTGAAGGTCATTATGATGTTGTTAGGGTTCTCCTTAGCCGGAGAGCTAATATCGATGCTCGTGACCGTTGGGGTAGCACGGTCTGTTCTTTGTCCCAAATCTGGTGTTTTTGTTCGGTTTGGTTTGTTTAGTAAAATTTAGTTTGAATAGATTTCCGGTTTGGTTGTTTGTAGTTACGGTTTGTACGGATGTATACTAACGAACCGAACTGGTTTGGTATTGGTTAAACCGAATTGATCATTCTTGTAACACACTCTTGATTTTGATTATGGTGCAGGCGGCTGTTGATGCCAAGTATTATGGGAATGTTGAAGTGTTTAATCTCTTGAAAACTCGAGGAGCTAAACCTCCGGTATGCTATTTAACTAAATGCTTTTTGTGGTCTCTCTCTTTTCTGGTGGTTTACTTCATCTTCAATATATATATATACTCTTTCATTCTTCATCTTTGTTGAGAAATAATAAGAAATACCACAAATTAATTATCATTTTTCGAAAATATCATCAATACAAAATATACTAATACTTTGGTTCACATTTTAGTGATTATTATTTATGGTTTAGTATTTAGAGATTGAGGTTGAGTGTATAAATGTTCTATAAATATTTAAAAATTTAGTTTAATGTTATTTTATCATAAATTTAGGGTATTTGTGAAATAATCATTCATTAATATTGAAAATTTATATCAAATTTATGGTAGAATTGAAATTTACCTATATTTGTTTGTGTTAAAACTTTAGAAAACCAGAAAGACTCCAATGACAGTGGGAAATCCAAAAGAAGTTCCGGAGTATGAACTTAATCCACTCGAGCTTCAAGTCAGAAAATCTGATGGCATCACAAAGGTTTTATTCATTATCCTAATCTCTCAAGAACTGAGACTTTATCTCCTGAAACATCTTTTATTCTGATGTGCTTATTGTTTACTTTATTTGTAGGGAACTTACCAAGTTGCTAAGTGGAATGGCACGCGAGTCTCGGTAAAAATATCCGATAAAGATAGTTATACAGATCCGGAACGAGTGTAAAACATTCTTTACCTTCTTGTTATGTGTTTAAATTGTTTGATAACATGAAATCATCTCTAACACTGTGTTTTTCTCTTTCTGGTTATTTTTTTATACAAACAGAAATGCTTTCAATCATGAATTAACTGTGCTAGCTAAAGCTAGGCATCCAAATATCGTTCAATTTGTTGGAGCTGTCACTCAAAACCTACCAATGATGATTGTTGTTGAGCATAATCCAAAAGTAAGTAAGCATAGTTGTCTCATTACTTCATTTCTTGCCTACACATCAAAACACAATTGTGTTAATCTTGTAGTCATTTCAATTTTTTTTAAGGGTGATTTAAGTGAATATCTTCAAAAGAAAGGTCGTCTTTCTCCTTCAAAGGCTTTGAGATTTGCTCTTGATATTGCTAGAGGCATGAACTATCTTCATGAGTGTAGACCAGACCCGGTCATCCACTGCGATTTAAGGCCAAAGTAGGACAAATGCCGAGAGTTAAATTAGATAATAATAACAAAAAAAAAACAGTTTGGATAATATTTTGAGAGTTTTGTGTAAGGTGTCAGAAATATTTTGCTGGATAGAGGTGGACAATTAAAGATCTCTGGATTTGGTTTGATAAAGTTGGCCAAGGTTTCAGAAGATAGTGTCAAAGTAGTGAACCACGAAGCTCATATCGATAAATCAAGTAAGAACAATGCTTCATTTTTTCATTTCTCTGTTAGAAACATTGTTTCTTGAAAGTTCTTGTACTTATTATTACCATTTTTGAACTGCAGATACCTACATAGCTCCAGAACTTTACAAAAACATAATCTTCGATAAAAGTGTTGATGTTCATTCGTTTGGTGTCATTTTATATGAGGTACATAGTAACACACAAAAGTTTCATCTTATTGATAGTTATAAACTTCTAATAAATCTTCTTTGGTGCTTTATATGTAAAGATAACTGAGGGAGTATCGATTTTTCATCCTAAACCCCCTGAAGAGGTGGCAGAGACGATATGTATGGAAGGAAGGAGACCAACAATCAAGACAAAGTCCAAGGGTTACCCTCCAGAATTGAAAGAGTAACCATTTCAAAATATGTTTTAAAAGCATTTTTAGATGTTATGAATGTTTTAGACATTAACAACTCAAGAATCTTGCTGATTATCTCTAGGTTGATTGAGGAATGTTGGCATCCAGATACAAGTGTAAGGCCAATATTCTCTGATATTATTATTCGACTCGACAACATAGTTGCAAACTGCTCTAAGCAGGGTTGGTGGAAAGACACATTTAAGTTTCCCTGGTAAAACAACTTTGATCTGAATGAATAATTTTTTTTGTGATAAAATGAATTTTATTGTTAAACCAAAGGTTTATGTTCATCAATATTTATTTTTTACAGGAAATAAAAGGAAACGACTGAATCAACCAACATAAAGAATGGAGATGAAAAAAGAAAAAGCAAGATGAAAGTGGCCTTCAATTTCACTCTCTTTGTATAAACTTAACATCACTAATCTGTTTTTGATATTTTGTTTGTTTCATATCATAAATTTTTTTTTTGGGTTTATTTTGTGTATATCATGAGCAACAACACACATACATATCACTTGTTTCATATAAAAATTAAAAGCAACTTGTAAATTCTAGATAAGATTCATAAATTTCTGCTAATACAATTAAAATGTTCAACAAAAAGTACATGGGCAAATCTTTCAAATAAACTTTTTTAAACTTTTATCACAAAAATAAATCTCAAAAACTAAAATGACCAAATTAGCATTTTTTATTTTAAAATTTTAAGTTTTTATTTTATTTTATAAAATTTATATTACATCCCCAAAATCCCACTTCTCAATTCTAAATAAAAATGTCTAAGATTAGTTAATCCAAATGGTATAAGTTTATATTTATTTATTTTTAATAAAACATTTAAATCTATTTTGGACATTTTAAAAAAAAATTATATTTGTGATAAAAAAATTTTAGGTCTATCCTACCACGGAATTTCTCAAAATACATTATCAAATCCAACAAGTTTGTATAAAATAAAATTTGTTAAAACCTTTCTTTTTGTTTGGTGAAGAAGTAACATTATTTTACTTTTAACCATCTAATTATCAACACAACAAAATCTCATGCGTCATTGCCCTTGGGGTTCACGTATTACCTCTAGATGTGGATTCGTCCATGTGGTCGGTCACGATCTAAAACTAATGGGACCCAAATTCAATCCGACGGTGTAGATTCCCTCCGACATGTCTAAAATAATATCTATTTATTTCTTTGTCCTAAAAAAAGAAAAAAAGAAAATAAAACCCTTTCCCTCACGCCGCATCTCTAAAACCTCTCCAATTTCTCCGGCGGTTTCACCTCACCGGCAATCACATTACCTTCATCTGTAAGTGATATTCTTCTTCTTCTTTGTTCACATCTTCTTAAAACTACTCATAGAACTTAAATCACTAATAAAGGTTTGTCTTTTTTTTTATAGATGTACAACTGATTCCTCTGTTTACGACAAGGGTATCAATAAAAAAATGGCTTCAAGAGCGATTGTTAGGAGAAAGAGTCAAATTTATGATTACTTAAGTGTCTATGCTCGTTCAGCTCAGACAGTTAATTCACATACTTATCACTCTCTTATCAAACACCCTCCCGTGGAAACTAACCGTGTAGCCAAAGACACTTCCTTTACAGGAGGATATGGTCTTTTATTACCTTCTAGCAACAGATATTTCAATGGTTCTTCTCAGTTGTCGGGGATTAGGTTTGGAAATTTGGAAACTGTTCCTTCTCTGGGGATGAGGTATATGAGTGTATCTATACGTAATGCTACTACGGTTGCAGCTAAGAAGCCTGAAGAAGAAGAGGATAAGAAAGATGTGAGTAGGAAAGAGGCGTCTCCTGAGGAGTGTGACCAAGCTGTTGAGAGTTTGAGCAGTGTTAAAGCTAAGGCTAAAGCTAAACGTTTACAAGAATCCAAAAAGGTTGCTAGGTCGATTGTGCAGAGGACATGGGTGTTTGTTCTCAAGATTGGTCCTGCTTTGAGAGCTGTTGCCTCCATGAGCAGGTTTGAGAGCTTTTTTTCTTTTTGACATTAGTTTGTTCTTATAGTTGTTGTTCTGAGTTTTTATTTATTGTTTCTTCTACAGGGCGGATTGGGCGCTAAAGCTTAGTCATTGGAAACATGAGTTTGTGTCAACGTTGAAGCATTATTGGCTGGGGACGAAACTGCTGTGGGCTGATACTAGGATTAGTTCAAGGTTGCTGCTTAAGTTGGCTGGTGGGAAGAGTCTTTCTAGAAGAGAAAGGCAGCAGCTTACTCGAACTACAGCTGATATCTTTAGATTAGTGCCGTTTGCTGTGTTTATTCTTGTGCCGTTTATGGAGTTTCTGTTGCCTGTTTTCTTGAAGCTGTTCCCTAATATGTTGCCGTCTACTTTCCAGGACAAGATGAAAGAAGAGGTATGTTGAAAACTAGTGTAGTAGGCTTTATACCTTTGTTTCTTACCTTTTTCTGTGATGCTGTTTTGTTAATGTACAGGAAGCATTGAAAAGGAAGTTGCTTGCTAGGATAGAATACGCTAAGTTTCTTCAGGAAACGGCTAAAGAGATGGCTAAGGAAGTTAAACATTCAAGAACTGGTGAAACAAAGAAAACTGCTGAAGACCTGGTTGAGTTTCTAGACAAGGTAAGTCAGGGATTTTGTGTTGGCTCAGATACTACTTTCGGTTTTTGAATTTGAGATTTCATTCCCCATGTTCTTAAAATCTTGCCTTGCAGGTTCGTAAAGGTCGACTAGTCCAAAATGATGAGATTTTAGGCTTTGCAAAGCTTTTCAACGATGAGCTTACTTTGGATAATATTAGCAGGTTTGTTGCTTCTTTTCTTTTGAACCTCAGAGATACATGTTCTGATACTAATGACCTCTTTGTTTTGAATAACAGGCCTCGCTTGGTTAGCATGTGTAGAATCATGGGTATTAGCCCATACGGAACAGATGCTTATCTGCGATATATGCTCAGGAAAAGACTGAGGAGGTAAGATGCTTCCCACGTCTCATTGTTATTGGACTTTTAACCTTGCTTTGATGATTAATTTTTACTCCATTTCAAATGCAGCATTAAGGAAGATGATAAACTGATTAGAGCTGAGGGTGTGGATTCCCTTTCAGAAGCCGAGCTACGCGAAGATTGCAGGGAACGTGGAATGCTGGGGACGCTTACAGTTGAAGAGATGAGGCAACAGGTTTATTAGTCATCTGTTTATCAAAGTCCATCAGGAAAAGTTAAGGTTGCAGCGTTAATTTTTTAGTATCAAAACGTTCTTGCAGCTTCGAGACTGGATGGACTTGTCACTTAATCACTCTGTCCCCTCATCATTACTAATCCTTTCTAGGTAGGTTCAAGAACACATTTTCTCATTGTTTTTTGTTTTGTTCCGAGTAAGTTTCTGACGGGAGTTTATATTCAGGGCATTCACGGTTGCCGGAAGAGTTGAAGCAGATGCTGTCCGTGCAACTCTTTCTTCTCTTCCTGACGAGGTTGTGGATACTGTTGGTGTTACGTCTCTGCCATCTGAAGACCCTGTATCTGAGCGACTAAGGAAACTAGAGTACCTTGAGATGCAAGACGAAATGATCAAGGTCTGATATAAACCATTGATTGTATTGTGTTATGCTTTCTTGAGGAAGTTAGAGAACTCAGTTTTATATGTTTCGCATTTTATATATGTAGAAAGAGGAGGAGAAAGAAGAAGAAGAGCTTACGAGGATTAAGGATGTTAAAGGCGGTGAAGAGGATAAGGCTCTGCAAGAGATGACCATACCAACTGCCAGGGAAGCACAAGAACAAGCTAGAGCTAGAGTCCTTGAACAGCAAGATGATCTTTGCAAACTCAGTCATGCACTGGGCATTTTAGCTTCTGCTTCTGTAAGTAAAATGAGTTTATGTTTTTTTTCAACAATGGATAAGGACATGGATTTTGATATTCTGTTTGTTTTTTCAGTCTGTATGTAGAGAGCGTGAAGAATTCCTGCGGCTGGTTAAGAAAGAGGTACAAATGTCCACAAAAGCATTAGCTTGAAGTTTGCTTGAATATCATTTTGTGTTCTACATTGAAAGTCATTGTTCTCCTGTTTCTCCAGGTGGAGTTCTATAACACAATGGTTGAGAGAGAAGACGTTGATGGTGAAAAAGCTGCAATGAAAGCATACAAAGCAGCTAGAGAAGATAGTGACCAAGGTGATGAAGTTGCTGAAGCAGACGAGGTTTCCTCTGCACTAATGGAAAAGGTAAAGATACTTCAAAATTCGTTTTAAACATCTCTAAGTCCCATGAGATAACTCTTCAAGTATTCTTTTTTAAGGTTGATGGTCTGATACAAAACCTGGAGAAGGAGATTGATGATGTGGATATCAAAATTGGGAAAGGATGGCAGCTTCTTGATAGGTATATAGACATGACATGTCAGCCACTTTTCTTTCTTTTATGACACTAAGATTCTAAGGTTGTAACGTTTTGGATGCATATAACATAGGGATCGAGATGGAAAGGTCACACCTGATGAAGTTGCAGCTGCTGCGATGTACCTGAAAGACACGCTAGCTAATGAAGGCCTTCAACAACTAATCAGTAGTCTCTCTAAAGATAAAGGTATAGAATACTCTCCTTCTACAGCTCTTACTTAATATCCCGGAAGTTAGATCTGTTGATTGATCCTTGTTTTGAATGTGGTTTCTCAACAGAGGGAAGAATTATGGTGGAAGATATTGTAAGGTTGGGGAGGTTGGGAAGTAAGCCAGAAGAAAATGCAACAGAAGAAGAATCAAATTAAAAGAAAGAGTAACTCTAATATTCTTTTGAAAACCAGACGAGACACTATTACTCTTGTAATGAAGTTAGCTTTTTTATACTGAGAGAAACTATACTTGAGGTTTTGCTGTTTAGACAAAAGCAAGTTACATAATAGAAGGCGACTAAGATTGAGTGAGACCATTTGCTAGTTTACGTGAAAAGATGTTAAAACAAAAACCAATGAAGGTTATTTTAAGAGCTTATACTTATTTTTGCATTCTTCCTAAAATATATGTTGTTCTCTCTTCACAATCTGACCAACTGGTTTAATCATTAATCAGCATTGTTCTACTTGGCAAATAAATAAGATCTGCTGTTCACATGCTTATCCCAAAAATTCATTTATAGAAAACAAACATCTTTGGTACATAGAAAGCGTTGCAATAGTTGTTTTAGAAAGACAACAAAGAAGGTAGCATCTAATAAGATGGCCATTGTTGATGATGATGCATAAGGAAGGGTCTACGCTCCATCTGCCAAAGGTCTGTTCACTGTACTGATGTAAAGAACTGCATCCAAAGAAAACAGATAAAATTCATATGCATACTTTCAGTAAAGAAGAAAGTTGAGAGTAGAAGAAGAATGTAGGAGAGGTTTTTGTTACCATTGTTCCCACGGATAAAGGCATCACCGTATTTGTTCTTGAGCTGCCCGTTCACGTACTCCTCTGTCTGCTCCATAGCTATGTTCATATACCCATCAAGACAAGCAAGAATGCCTGTGTAAAAGACGAAGAAGCAATTCATGATCAAGAACTCAATATTAATTATTAAGCTTGTAAAGAACCTAGACAAAACTGATCAAGGCAACAAGAGAAGCAAACAAGTCGAGAAGAATAAATAAATAGTTCTAGGACCTTGATCTCTCTTACAAGGCCTTGAGCCTAGGTCATAAAACCACAAAGCAAAGATCCAAGCTCAAAATTCTCCTAGTCAACTGTAACTTTATTGCAGGAACATTGATAAAAGGAGATATTAGAATGAGAAGAGAAGAAATAATCAGCCAATTTGGTTACTGTGAGCTTGCCCTTTGACAGATCTATAACAAATTTCAAAACTTTCTCTAATTTCTCACAGCTATACCAATGTATCCGTCTTTAAAAGACCCAAAGATCCGCTTTTGCAACAACTTAGCTTGTTCGTAGTAGATAATAAAATGTTCTCAAGAAAACTATTGGCAATCTTAGTAACATTCAACTCATTGGTTCCAGTTAACATAAACCAAAAGGAACAAGAACCCCAAAGACAAAACTTGTAACCTAAAATGCAGCAGAGACAGATAAACAAAACTGCAACAGCAAATTAGAACTACAAAACCAAAGCATACAAAGAAGGAGAAGACATCTATAAAGAGAGAAAGAGAGAAACATCCACCTCGATAGTCAACACCAGAGTTGAGCTTGACAACAACAGGTCTGCCACGGATGGATTTGAGGAAATCAGCAGGTGTCTTTGTGGTTCCAGTAACTTTATTATCCCCACTTCCACTCATCTTTTTCTTCTTCTTCTCAGCTACGTACGATCCTGAAAATATCACAAGAGTTAGTTAGTCGTTTAATCAACGATCTCTCAAGTAACAACAGTAAAGACTCCAAACCCAAAGAGAAAAACCTAAACTTTCGACCCCAATCAATGGAAAGCGAATCGATTTGAGTAACGTAGAGAGAAAGACTGAAACTTTACCTAAGTCGAGCGAAGAAACAATGAATCGTTGCGAAAGGGTCGAAAGATTTAACTAAACCTAAAGGAAGTGGAGGGGTTTATTGTTAATATCAAAACTTTATGGTATAGAATTCGAAAAAGTGATAATATTTGCACAATGGTCCTTTTATTCTAACAAAATTACAGAATTGGGGGTGAAATTAAATCTCCAGTGAGTTTTTCGGTTCAGCCTCACGATTGAATTGTCGTCTCTCTCTGTAGCTCGCAGGAGGGATCCCCTAAATCCCAAACCCTAGATCATTCAAATTCGTTTTTGGGACTTTCGTTGTTGTTTTTTTTTGTGGGGCGAAATGGGGAAGAATCAAGCGTACAAGGCGATGCAGAGATCAAGGGTTGGCTCCACCTCAGCTCAGCCCGAGGAGGTTGAAGACGGAATGGTTTTGTACCCTTTCTTACTCTACTCTTCTCTTCATTCCCAATGATTATGTTTTTTTTTTTTTGTTGATTCTTTGTCTTAATTTGATCATTTTGAGCTGCGCAATTTCATTTTTAATCGAATTTCTTACAGTGATAAGTTCATGTTTTTTTTAGGACAATTACAAGTTCAAATGTTATTCGTGAGCATTGAAGTTTGTTTTCTGAGTGATTCAATAGTCTCCTTGATTTTTGTTGTAATCTTGTAACACACAAGAATCATTTTAAGTCTCAATTTTTAGGAAAATTCAGCATTTGTGGGGTTTCTTAGAGTGATATATGTTCATGTTTTTGAGGTAGTTAAAATTGAGGCATTTAAAGTCTCAATTTTTAGGAAAAACTTGTAAATTCAGCATTTTTGGGGTTTTTTAGAGTGAGATATATGTTCATGTTTTTTGAGGAAATTAATGGTTCAGATGTAATTTCTTGATAATGAAGTTTAAAGTTTGGTTCTTAATTTTTTAATCGAATTTCTTACAGTGATATGTTCATGTTTTTTGAGGACAGTTACAAGTTCAGATGTTATTTTTGAGCATTGAAGTTTGTTTTCTGAGTGATTCAAGAGTCTCTTGGATTCTTGTTACATTCTGTAACACACAAGAAGCATTTAAAGTCTCAGTTTTTTAGGAACAACTTGTAAATTCTGCATTTTTGAGGACTTTTTACAGTGATATGAGTTCATGTTTTTGAGGAAATTAAAAGTTCAGATGTTTTTCTGAGTGCAATGAATAAGCATTTAGGGAAATTGAACAATATGAAGTTTTGGTAGTGGAGCATTTGCTACTTCTTTTTTTTTTTAATTATTTTGTTTTGTTTTATTCGGCTTTGGTGATTATTTATTTATTGTATCTGTACGTGGAACGTTTCTGATGAGGAGTGTCTCAGGTGGATGGTTCATTTCATACACCAGAGTGGCATGCTGCTCGTTTGGCTAGTCTCAAGACTACCCACACTATCACCTGGGAAGAGTATAAGAATAAGCAAAAGGTAAAAGATTCTTTCCAGAGTAACAAAGCTTCATGTCTTTTGATAATCCTTGTCATAATCCTGTGTTTGTTAAATTGACCATATAATAATCCTTGTCTTAATCCTGTGTTAGTAACAAAGGTTCATATCTTTTTAGCTTTCTTTCTTCCCTCTTACATCTATATATCTATGCTGACCTTTTGGGGTAACTCTAGCATCTTATGTTTCATAGCCTGTAGATGGTCAATCTCATTCTTCTTTGTTAACACTTTCATTATCTTCAATATCATTTTGTTACCATTTGTAGCTTCTCTGTATTGTGATTTTGGAAACATTTGTAAAATGATTAGCATTGTATCTTTTTTTCTTTACATGACTGTGTTTTTAGGAAGAAGAAATGAAAAAGGGAGAACTTGAAGCAGACACCGATAAACTGATGCGTGAGTATAGAGCTCAGCTGGATGCTGAAAGGTCCTTGAAACTCTCCAAGGGAAGGAACTACTCCAGTGACAAGTCACGAAAAGGTAATATCATCAACTTTACTCTACGCAGAATATTTAAAACCTTCTTTATTGAGAAGTTATTAACTATTTGTTTTCCATTGACTCAAATGATCTCTCACAGATAAGAAAGACAGAGATTCAAAGAAGAAGAAAAGCAAAAAGAGAAAGGTGCTTATAATCTAGACAAACACATAAATGACATTTTTAAAACATATGGTCTCATGTTTTATAGCTTTTAACATTATCCATGATTTCATGTCGTGTTTGCAGCATTATTCATCCTCAGAGTCGTCATCTAGTAGCGATGAAGACGAATCAAGAAGATCAAGATCGAGTTCCAAAAGATCGAAGAAGGAGAAGAAGCACAAGTCTAGCAGAGACAAACGCTTTAGCAAAAGTAAAGACGAAGATGGCCCTGTGCCACTCTCTAGATTCTTTGGCAATTTGAAGAGTTAGAGACATTGACAACATAAACAAACATGCAAAAAGAACCATTGCAAGAAGTTAGTTAGATCGTCCTTAATCAGAAACACTCAATCTTCTAATTAGAAGATGTCATTGTTTTCTTACTTGTTGCAATGTTATAATTTGTTTACAACATTCTCATTTACTCCTTCTGTTTTATTATAAGTGTCGTTTTAAGTTTATGCATACGGATCAAGAAAATCATTAATTTTATATATTTTTCATATAAAATATAATTACCTATATACATAACTATATATCAACCAATAAAAAATAGACTGTAGAATAAATTAATAAATTTTGCATTAAAAATCGAAAACGACACTTATATATCAACCAATAGAAAAATAGAATGTAAAATAAATTGATAAATTTTGCATTAAAAATCGAAAACGACACTTATTTTATAACGAAAAAAATTCTCTAAAACAACACTCAATATGAAACGGAGGGAGTATCATTTACTTGTTGGATTGAGAGTTGCAATAATTTGATTTAAATGATAAATTGACAATATCAAAATTAAAAAGAAAACTTTTATTTGGGGAAATCTAACAGAAAATCTTAGTACAATAAATCTTCTGAGAGATTCTAAAACTGAAAAAGACAAATGATAGAATTGAAAAGACAAATGATAGACTGTTTTAAGAGTTGCTTGCAAGCCAAGTCACTATTAATCTTCAACTGTTGGTGGTCCAGGGTTGAAAGCTAGGGCTTCACTTTCAACTGCTGCTGGTTCAGGGTTGAAAGCTAGGGCTTCATGGTAGATCAACTCCTTAATCTGCTCCACTGTGAGTGGATATTCCTCTAAATCAAAGTTAAAGAGGTTCATGCACACTGGTTCATTGTTAATGTTGTGCAAACTTTTGAAATATGGATCAGCAAGTGCATCCACAACTGCAAATAGGGCCCAACAAAATAATGGCAGTGATCAGAGTCACACAAATAAAACTGAAAAAGAGGCTAAGGAGAGAGACAAAAACGTATACTAACCTGAGATTCTCTTTCTAGGGTCAAACTTGAGCATCTTCTCCAACAAAAGAACAGCTAAGAAAGGCAACTCTGGGAACTTTGCAAAGAAAGATTGGCGGTTATACCTAGGAAGCGTCCTTAAGTATTGCTTAGCCATTTCTTTTGTTTTTTTCCTTTGCTTTTCTTTTTTTCCTGCAGCCCATGAGAAAGCCTGAGCTCCACGTTTCACCGGTGAAATCTTCAGAGTCATCATATGAAGAAAGTCGTTGGTATATAGTCGGCATAATGTCCAAGACTTGAGAAACAAGCAAAGAAACAGAGGGCAAAGCTTAGCAAAGTACCAAAACCGTGGCCAATGACAGCTATGAGCTGTAGTGTTTTCTCCCACTTTGGAAGAGATATAACCATTCATGTTACTACACTGTATGGAGGAAAGAGTTGAGAAACTCTTGTGCAAGTGTGGTGTTCCATTAGATATGCCAAAGAAGGACTCTCTCTTAAAGGAAGAACAATTTCCTGGTAATGAAACCTACAAAATGTTGAAAGTACACATGAAGTTTGAAGATAACTTGGAGCACAAGTTATAGTATTCCTAGTTGAGTTATGATTAGGAAATAAGGAAATATAGTTTGTTAAGTGAGATTAAGAGTTTTATAGATCTATATAAGGAGATGCATACTTGTTGCATAAGATACTTGGTGAGAGCTTAGTTTTGAGATAGTTTCTTAAGCTAATAAGAGTTATTCTTATTGATCTACTCAAGTTCATACAATTACTTTGAGATAATACAAAAGAGCATCACTTAGCATATTAAGACAGGTTTATCAATCTCAGAGAGTTCTAAGTGGATGACTTCATTCTGACAAAAGATGTGAAAAAACAAAAAATAAGAACCTGAGATATAGTGTCGCCATGATTGCCGTAATGATGCTTTTAACAATGAATAAATAAAGCCAAATCGCTTTCATGAATAGTCGCCTACGTTCGCGCTTACTCGTTCAATGACAACTACGATGTCAGTTTGGAACAATATTATCTCAAACTAAAGAAAGAAAATTGGAACCATTTATTGTTGATTATCTAAGACTAGGGCATGATACAAAACGACATAAGACTAGGAAAATAAAAATGTAACGAAGAAGACGGCGTTGCACAATTATGGCGACATTGTGAACTTAGCTAGGCCTTAAAGAAGGAATAGATATTTAACAATGCTAACAAAGTCAAACAAATTTAACTATAAATACATCACCAACACATAAGTATGTCTCATCAAAATTTAAGCTTACTGACTAGAAAAGGAAAAAAAGAAAAGCAAAGGAAAAACCAAAAGAAATGGCTAAGAACCTAAACTCCATCTGCTTTGCACTTCTCTTGTTTGTGGTCGTGATTGCTTCAACTGGTATTCATTTGTTTTTATTTTTTTGTCAAAAAACTGGTATTCATTTGTTTTTCTTTTTTTGTCAAAAAACTGGTATTCATTTGTTTTTCTTTTTTTGTCAAAAAACTGGTATTCATTTACAAAAAAAAGTAAAAAAAAAAAAAAAAACTGGTATTCATTTAATTATCTTGCGCTGATGATGATCCTGATTATGTGAACATCTAGGATTCCTGAACAGCGAGGCAGTGGATTGCCCAGGTGGATGCTCTTTGCCAGGGCAACGTAAGTTCTTAGACGAGTGTGGGATTGTGCCATTCCCGGGTACAGATGTTGATTGTTGCAAATGTTGCGCAGCCAAATGGCCGACTCCTCCACTCTGTTGGGCGGTTGTTGAGGGAACCGAGAGACACTGCCATTGCTATCAACATATTTGATATAACCTCATATAATTATCAAGTGTCACCTTGGTTCTCATCCGGTGTCAGCATTTAACGTGTGTGTGTGTGTTTGTGTTCAATTTTCTTTTGCTTCCAAATAAAACACCAAGGGCAAAGCCTACTATCAATGCTTGCACCCCTATAAGTGTGAGCTCTCGTTGTGTGTACTTTTGTTTCATTATGAATATATATTGAACTCGTTTTGTGTTCGTGTTCATAAGCATAATAAAAGACCTTTTTAAGGGACAAGATCTAAATGGTCCGATTGCATTGAAGCTACAGTGAAATTTCTATAAATTAATAGTGTTGGGACTACACCTAAATTTTATTTTTTATTAATTTAGAGAGATATTAATTTATTTATATACTAATCGAACCAATAACTCAATTTGAGATTATAAAATTATATTATTTAATAAAGATATTAATTTATTGAGTATTAATTTATAGAAGTTCAATTGTATAAACTTAGTAAATCACCAAAGGTCATGTGTATAATCAAGGGAGCAATAACAAAGGATTTTTACAGGGATGCTTCTTGGTTTGGTTAAACTGCTCATCACATGGCTAGATGACCCGGCAGGCTCATTGTTTTATTTTAATACGCCATGCAGGTATAATTTTTAGAAAAATATTAAAATAATTTTGCAAAATAGAATCTAATTTGTTTTAGAAAAATGGTCTAAACTATTATCGCAATAATCTTATTATATAAAGTTTGGTTTTTCAAAGTTGTTAATTAACACGATTGTGATACATGTTAATTATATATTTATGATTGTGACATGTGTTAAACTATCTTATAATTATATATATATATATATATATATATATATCTAGATAATAACAAAAACGAAACTGATTAGAAAATCTAACGAACTCGGAGTAAAACTGGTAAAATATAAAGAAAATATTTCAAATGCCAGACTATAACTGAAGAAAAATTATATGTTTAAATATGTAAAATCTAATATTCATAAAATATCTAAAATTCTCGAAAATATTCTGAAGTATCCAAAATACCTGAAAATCCAAAAAAAATATCCAAAACTAAATAACCAAAAATACTAGAAATACACAAAATACTACTTGTTATCTACCAAAATATCCAAACCTAACAATTTTTCATTTTAATATAGTAATTACCAAACTTATTCAAATTATAAGTTGTATATTGTTTTTTATTTTTGAATTTTGAAGATTTTAAGATATATTTGGAGATGAATATTTATGAAATTTTATTTATCAAATTTTGGGTGTCATAGATACATGTTTTATTTGTCTTTGCCGAAGATTGGAGATGCTAAAAACTAGATATAATGTCGACATGATTGATCATCATGTTGAAACCCTAATTTTTTAAAAATATATTATGAAGCCAAATCATTTTCATGATCTGATGAAATAGTCGCCAAGGTTCTCACTTACTCTTTCAACTAGGTGTTGTGCCCGCATATGCGGGCATAATTTTCTTACGAATATTTATTCTTTTTTTTGTTTTATTAATTCTAAAATAATATTATAAGTTATTTTCTATAGTTTTAAAAAAACTAAATCAAACATTAAATATTTTTATATGATTATTCATCAAAATCTATATGCTGATTATAGTGTTGAAAAACATCCATATAATTAAATATTTTTGAAAATATATAGAAATATATAAATTTATTTAAAGATATCATTAACTTGAACCGTTCCAATTTTTAATACCTAATATTTAATTATATAATTAAAAGTATCTTTATACAAATGTTTTTATTAATATTTAATTAAAATCGATTTTATATTTTAATTTTTAAATTTTATAATATAATGATATTATTTTTAAAAGCCAAAATCAATTTTATATAAAATTAAGATCTATAAGCATTATCATGTTGTTACAATATTATATTCAGATAATAATAACATATATAAGAATTATCTTGTTTTTTTTTATAAACTTATTATATTAATTATTCTTTATTATCTAAGATAATAACATACTGTACTTATCTAATTTTATTTTTTAAATTTCGTTTTTAATTATAAAATTAGTTATATATAAAAATTTCATTAAGGGTAAAATAGATATTAACCGCTCTAACTTTTAACGTGAGAGCTCCGTTGCGAAAAATCACTTCGCAAATAATAGTATAGATGTCATTTTTGAACAATAATATCAAATCAAAGAAAAAAAGATATATTAAAATATATATATATATATATATATATATAAATAAAATACGTTACAACGATAAAGACACACGGGCGACCTTTGTTTTGTATATTATCTAAAACTAGGGCATGAATAAAGAAAACATAAGACTTGGAACATAAAATATACTGACGAACACGGCATTGCACAATTGTGGCGACATTGTGAACTTAGCTAAACCTTAAAGAAGAGAAAAGAGATTAAACAATGATAACAAAGTTACAAAATTTGACTATAAATAGATCACCAAAACATATGGATGTCTCATTAACTTAAAGCTTATTGACAAGTAAAGGAAAAAAGCAAAACCAAAACAAATGGCTAAGAACCTCAACACCATCAGCTTCGCAGTTCTCTTGTTTGTCCTTGTGATTGCTTCAACTGGTATTCTTTTTTTGTGTCAATAACTGGTCTTTATTTAATTATTCTCTGAAGTATTTTTTTATTCATCTTGGGCTGATGATGATTATTTTGATGATGTCAACATCTAGGAATCCTGAGCAGCGAGGCTGTGGATTGTCCCGGTGGATGCTCTTTGGCCTCTCAACGTACGTTCTTAGACGAGTGTGGGGCAGTGCCTTTCACTGGTACAGATGCTGAATGTTGTACATGTTGCAAAGGCAAATGGCTGAGTCCTCCACTCTGTTGGGCGGTTGTTGAGGGAACTGAGAAACACTGCCATTGCTATCGACATGTTTGAAGTGTGACCTTGCTTCGGTGTGAGGACATGACATGTGTGTATGTTTGTGTTCAAGTTTCTTTTGCTTCCAAATAAAACACCAAGGGCAAAGCTTGTCACTGCTTGCCCTCTAAGTGTGACCTCTGGTTGTGTGCACCTTTGTTTCATTATGAATATATATTACACTTGTTTTATGCTCGTGTTGGTGTTCCACTGTTCCTTATTCCATTTCATAATACTTTAAAAAAAAGTTGTCTGCGTAGAATCTCTAGTAATTAAGATATACTTCTTGCTCAAAGGAATACTTCATACTCTAGACACTAGAATATTTAGGAAAATTTCAAAAACTCTATTAACTTATAATTCCACATTTTCTCTAATCTCTCTTCATTCAAGGCAGTAGAAATGCTTGAAAACTTGTCTTCTGTCTTCGTCATGTTTAAACGTAGACAATGCAGTGTTCATTAGTGCACTATCTACAATTTTAGAAGCAATCTTCGTAAGAAAGACAAGGTTCTTGGTAGGGCTGAAAAATACTCCTATTCAGATACAGAACCGAACCCTATTAGAAAAGTATGCCAAACTTGGAGTAAAACTAGTAAAATATTTGAATGAGACGCAAGTTTAACTATCTAAAGAAAATGAACCAAATCCGAACTCGAACCAAAATATTTCAAATGCCCGAATATAACCAATTATATTTTTAAAATATATCTAATATTTTTAGTCTAATATCCATAAAATATTTAAAATACTCGAAAATTTTAATTAGGAAATATCCAAAATACCTGAAAAAAACAAAAAATATACTAAAAAGTAAATAACCGAATTAAAAAAAAAAAAAAAAAAACAGTACCCGTTTTCCTCTCCAGCCTAATATCCAAACTGGACAAATTTTCATGTTAAATATGGTAACTTGCCCAATTATTCATATTTATAAGTTGTATATTCTTTTTTAATTATTTTTGAATTTTGAAGACTTTGAGATATATTTGAAGGTGTATATTTATGTAAATCTTATATATTAAAACAGAAGTCATGACTTAGTTTATGTGTGCTTTGTTTTAGTTTGTACCAACTTTTAGAAAATTATTTAAATTATATTATTTATAATCATATGAATTATTTTAGAACAAAAAATCAATTAGATTTTCCTATATATCTCTGAAAAATATCTGAATAAAATCTTTTCATATCTTTTTATTTAGACTATAAATATATTTCATTTTATTAAGATAAACCTTTAAAATATTTAAATAATTTCTTATTTATTTAATTGTATATTTCATTTTTACTTAGTTTCTTAAAATTATTTAGTTAATTTTATGATTATTTAAAATTAAACCTATATTTAATTTTCACTAAAATAAAAATTTTAAATATCTAATTTTGTAATTATAAATAAAATCATATAAACTTATGTATTAAATTTAATATAATACTTATCAATTAATTTTTGATTTTTAACCAATAATATTTTAAATTTAGAATTTTGTATCATATGATCTAAAATATGTTATCACTGAATAAATAAAACAAATAAATAAAAATATTGCATGTGAACTATAAAATTGTTGTGTTTCAATAATATAGATTAAACCATTAAAAATATGGTAAATATTATAATTAATCCTGTAAAAAAAATAATTATGTGTGTAAAAATTAAAATAATTACCCGCACGGTTGTGCAGGTCAAAATCTAGTTATTTCTTAAATTTTGGGTGTCATAAGAGGAATGTTTTATTTGTCTATTCCCATGATTGGAGATGCTAAAAACTGGATATAGTGTCGACATGATTGATGCAATCATCTTGCTGAAACACTAAATTTTAATAATGAATTAATGAAGCCAAATCGTTTTCATGATCTGATGAAATAGTCGCCAAGGTTCTTGTTTACTCTCTCATCTATTTTTGAAGGATATATATTTAATTTCAAAGGAAAAAAAAAGATATATAAATACGTTACAAGAATAAAGGCACGGGCGACTTTTGTTTTGTATAAACTAGGGCATGAATAAAGAACACATGACTTGGAAAATAAAATATAACGAAGAAGACGGCATTGCACAATTGTGGCGACATTGTGAACTTAGCTAAGCCTTAAAGAAAAGAAAAG